CCCCCACAGAGCCTCCTCACTGCTTCACAAAGGTCGTTGCCGATGGGAGCTGCAGAAACCCTTGGCTTCTGCAGTCAGCGTTAACATCCACACACTCCTTGCCTTCCTGCCCTTCAGGTGGTTGAGCAGGAGCCTGAAACACGTGTCCAGTCCCAACCCAGCTCTGCTGAGCAGAGAAGCCAAGGACTGGCCAAGCACTGGAGCATGGACCGCTTTGCCCTCTTCAGAGGGGACTGAGGCATGGCAAAGGAGAGGTCCTGCAGGGGCCCCTGTGCTGGACCTCTGCTACAGAGCAAGAGGGCTGCAGCGCTCCACGATGCATCCTCACAAATGCGAGGGAGGGAGCACCGTGGTGCCTATCTGTTCTGATGTCCTCAGGCTGGTGACCTCAGACCAGCAGCCGGTGACATCTGCAGCCATGAAGCATTGGCCGTCCAAGCCAGTCCCTTGCACCCAAGGATGGTGGCAGTGTTTCAAGGCGGTGTCTTCACAATAAGACTTTCTTTCTCTAAAGGAAACCAGGTCCAGCAAGGGACTGGCACTGCCCAGACCTGCTTCTGTAGCTCCCCAGCTTCTGTTTGATCTTCTAGATGCTGAGGGACAGGAGCCAGCCCTGCCACAAGCCTATTTGGAGTGATGGGAGCAGCTCAAGGGAGCTCTCATGGGGTGCCCCAGCCCATGAGTGGGTGACGGGGAGGCACCATGCATCTGGCAAAGCCCATGACCATGAAGCGGTCCCTCACCACACTTGGAGGCAAAGCTGGATCCTTGCTGCCTTCTCCAAGTTACCTTATCCTTGCGCACCTCATTCCCACCAGCCACCCCCCATGGCAGAAAGGGGGCAGAGAGGTCTGGTCTGCAACCAGCCCTCCAAAGACAGAGGCGAGCTCTGGCATCGTGGTAATGGGAGACAAAATGAACCGTGTCCAGGCTGGGACCGGGAAATGAGGTGGTTTAGAGTCACAGCAGGAACATCCTGGCACTGTCAGGGATTGCTGGCTGCTGGCGGGCTCCCAGGCGGGCGGGAGGCTTTGTTCGCCCGCAGCACTGCTCTCAGGGAGTTTACCTGGAATTACTGATCCGCATTCATAAACATGATCACGTTAATTGGCTGGTGGGGGCGCC